CAGTCCCTAAAACTAAGAGATTTTGTCTAAAATGTCGACGTTTGTCCCTAAAAAGGAGAGTTACCTCTGATTTACCAAAAGAAATAATAATGGACATAATCCATATTTGGTATTTAAATTTTTGACATCAGTCTTTTTTTTTGTAAATAAAAAAGACGTCTCGACAAATAATATTTATTTTATAAAACAAAAATTATTTTGATATCATTAAGAAATGGGTATATCCATTCTTGAGAATCGGGTTTTGACCCATGAACAGTAATATGATAAAATGGGTGTTAAGCTCACGTTGTTACTTATTTTAAATTTATTTTTGTTTTTTTACATGCAAAAATTTACAAGTATTTATATATAAAAATATTAAAAAAAAACATAAAAAATTACCTGAGTGCCACTGTATAGGTAAAAGACTGAAATACCCTCAGATTTCTCTAAAATTTACAAAAATGCCACTAGCAGCGTGGCTATTATTGGCGACGATGAAATTTTATGGTGAGATTCTGGCCAACAAATGGTTGATTCTGGTAGATCTGAGGACGAGGATTCTGATGGAGGTGGTCTTGACGGCCGTTGATAGCTGATGAGGGAGAATCAACAACTTGAAACTTGGTTGGCCGATGATTGTCGCGGCCTTTTTCCGGCTAAAATCGACGTGAAAACGTGTAAAACGGTCGAGATTTTGCTTCAGAGAAAGCGATGTACCTTTTTGTGGTGGTTTCGCTGCTTGAAACGGCTGGAAACAGAAACGGAAGATCGGAGAAGAGAGAGAGAATCGCCGGCGAGAGAAGAGAGGGGCTCTGAGTTTTGATACGGTGTGGACGAGCATATAGTGCACCGGTACGTCTGAAGCCTGTGAATCGTTGGATCGCGGATGAACAGATCATGCGGCTGGAATTGACTTGATCTGCAAGTTGATCGGATGGTCAAGATGGACTGGGTTATGATCTGGTGTGTCGTGGTGTACCGAGTGTTTGGTATACCTGATGACGTGGCACAACAGGATCAAAGGACATATTATTTTAAAGGCTGAGATGAATTTGAGTTTTAATCTGATGTAGTAAAACCTATTGTATCCTAAAAAATCAAAGGCTCAAATTTAAATACTATTAGATATCTTGCTAGGGTGAAGAAATTTTTAGTATTTTTCAAATTATTTTTTAAAAAAATCAATATCTTGCTAAGGTGAAGAAAAAGTAAAAAAAATACATGAACAATGACAAATAGTAACACAAATAGTAATATAAATAGTTTGCGCTCGAATTCAGAATTCTCTTCTTTTCTGTTTTGTCCTTTGTTGGCTTGGTTTCATTGGTTATTTACAGCCAATTAAAGGGGACAGTGAATCATAAATTGTGCAGGTAATCACGGGATTGTACAAAATTTTCAATGTACAGCTGCACCGCGGCAAAAATCCTCCATCTAATGTGACAAAATTGAATTATTCTTTTTTTGTTTTATTATATATAATAATAATATTTACTTATAGGGGTAAAATTAAAAATTCAAATCAATATTATAAAAAGCTTTTCAACCGTTAAAAATCAATTTTAATTACAAAAAAAATCTTTATATGGGTATCAAAAATAGCCTAAAACTCATTTTTTATCGCAGTCGACATGGTAGGACCCGTATTGACCCAGTGGACTTGGTTTTAACCAAAAATGATAGTTTTGACCCAAAACTCATTTTTCATCCCGGTCGACATGGTGGGACCCGTATTGACCCGGTGGACTCGGTTTTGACAAAAAAATAATGGTTTTGGCCCAAAACTCATTTTTCATCCCGATTGACATGGTTTAACCCGTATTGACCCGGTGGACTCAGTTTTGACTTGCGGTCGACATGGTGGGACCCATATTGACCCGGTGGACTTGGTTTTGACCAAAAATGACAGTTTTGACCCGAAACAGCCCGAAACTCATTTTTCATCCCAGTCGACAGGGTGGTACTCGTATTGACCCGGTGGACTCGGTTTTGACCGAAAATGACATTTTTAACACGAAATGGCCCGAAACTCATTTTTCATCGTGGTCGACATGGTGAGACCCGTATTGACTCGGTAAACTCGGTTTTGACCGAAAATGACGGTTTTTACCTGAAATGGCCCTAAACTCATTTTTTATCCTGGTCAACATCGTTTAACCCGTATTGACCTGGTGGACTCGATTTTGATCGAAAGATGCGGTTGACTCGAGAAAATATATTTTAAACTTTTTTTTTAATTTATATTTTTGATAAATAATAAAATAAAATAACATTTGAGAAAATTTTAGTGAATCCAAAATTGGGTTACAATATTGTTTTCAAATTAGCACAATTAATTAAAAATATCGATAAAATAGCTTGATTCAAAAAATAAATTGTGAAATAGCATAATCTATATGTATCACACTAGAAAATATGACTTTTATAATTTTTCATTATTCATAATAATAATTTTAAATATAAAATACATAAAATGGATAGGAGAGAAAAGAATGGAAAGAAATAAAAAAAATTCTAAAAATACATTGAAGCTCAAATTACAATACTACCATTACTATTAAAAAAATTTCTAGAGAGGAATCTAGCAATACCAAAAAAGATTTTTAATTATAATATGATTAAATTACAGTTATCTTCCAAATTTAAAGAATAACTCTTTTTTTTTTTGCAACAATTATAACCTACTCAGTTCATTGTTTATAATTCTTATTGATGTCGTTTGATTCTTTTCCATCACAATATGTATAAATTATTTTATTTCATTATTTTTTTTAACTTTGTTATTTCACCAACATTTGAAAAAATATACTAAAAACTAAAAATAGTTATTTTTGTGAAGGATGATTGAAAAAAATGCATACATATGTTTGCTTATAGGAGTCAACATGTCTTGACAAAAATCACCATGGTTTTATCTTTAAGGTTCGTCTCTTCCCCAGGGAAAAAAGAAGAGAGAAGTAAACTTGAAAGATAGGAAACGATAGTAAAACATCACATAAGAAGGGCCATTGTCACCTCACCATATAATTGTAGATATTTAGACGTGGATGAAGCTCAATAATATCATTACTCAACTTGAAATGCTGAAGCCCAATATTCAAGAAGCTAAAGAATGTTAAAAAGAGCTAAGATTGAAGTGATAGTTAAACCTAGCAAGACCCAACATGTTAATAATGATCTTGAAGCCCGTGTGTTGTTTCTTGTTTACCCTAAAAATCACATTATTTCCGACTTAGATATCTTTTCTTGCCCTTAAATATTTCTTGTTGATCAGGTGGAGGTTTTTATTTATTTATTTATTTATATGGATGTTTGAGTTAATTTGTGTGTAATACGATTAATTTTATGATCTATTAAACATCTTATAAATTCAATGAACATATAAAATACCGCGAGGATAATAAATATATATAAAAGAATTCAAAACTAGAAGTAGTGAAAAAAAAACAAGCTACTCCCATTATCAGTTCAAGACCCTTACCCTTAGTTCATTTTGGTATTAACGTTTTGTCATTTTGGTATTAACGTTTTGATGTATCATCCTGTACTAGTTAATTATTAATTCTTAATTTTTCAGTCCTACAAGTATGTGTTTACATGGACAAGAATATCGAGCCCTGTTAGCATCACAAATTAGATAGGTGTCTCGTCAAATTTTTTTCACCATAATATTTTTTATTAAGAAGACCAAAGTGTTTCTAAACAAGTAAAAAACAAAAATGAAATTTGTATTATTAACTTAATTGGATTCAATAAGCTTGCATAATTGTGTTAACGCAAATAAAGAAAAATACAATGAAAATAAATAACAAATTGATAAAAAGATTGGAAATGAAAAAAAGAAAAACCTTAACCTACCTATATTGGCATACTAAACTTATGATCCGATCATAATATCAGGGTAACCATGTTGAAAGCAAGTTGAATAAAATAATAAAGTTTAATTATTAAAAAATCATATAGTGAAGGGTGGAACTAAAAATAAATTAATTAAAAAAATAATAGAAAAAATATCTAAGTTAATTTAGATTAACCCGTTAATCCAATGACCATAGACATGAGATGTTTGGGATAACACTGTAAACAACAAAGAAAAAATAGTACAAAGACTAATTTTTAATAAATCAAACATTGAAAAATAATATTAGAAATAATCAAATTTAAAATAATTTAATACAAGACTGAAGTCAAAATGTGTTAATATCCAAAACTCCCGACCCTTGTGATGATCCCACAACTAATACCATAAAAGACAAACAATAAAAAGAATAAAGTAAAATTTTAAATTCTAAAATGTTGAGGGATGGAATTAAAAAATAAAAAAATATTAAAAAAAAGATCTAAAACAAAATAAATAATAATTAAAAAAATAAAGATTGAATTTGATATAAAAATAAATAGAAATCAAATGTTAAGGAATGAAATTGAAAATAAAATTCAATTAAAAAAAGGATAAAAAATAAATAGCAATTAAAAAAATAAACATCAAATTTGATACAAAAATTAATTAATAAAACCAAATAATAAGAAAGTAAATTGAAAAATATAATTAATCAAAAAAGAAAAAATAAATAAATAACAAGATCAACATTTGACTATCACATGTCATGAAGTTGATTATTAAAAAAAAAAAAAGATGTGGCCCTTGAACATAAGTTATAAAAGCTTTGTTTTTTAAGATCAAATGAGTTATTTTATTTTATTGTTATAATCTATGATGTTTTATGATTTTATCTAAAACCTAAGCTCTTATAATTTTTTTTTAATATTTAATAACATGATATATAGGAATACATGGCTAATTAAGGTTGTCTATAAGGTACTGAAGTTACCTTGCAATACGTATATATATATATATATATATATATATATATATGTATTTAAATGTTATTTTTTAACAGGTAGCTAGGAAGTTGAGCAACTATTCTCATAATAAATAAATAAATTCATGTGTTAGCTAGCTTTTCTTTACGTTTGTTTTAATCTAACCCTATGTTATAGCTAGCGTAGCTGAATGAAAGGAATGTTGCATCGTAATTAAGTGCAAGTAACCAGGAGGTTAATTTAACAATGCAATTTCTGTAAACACACTCAAGCAAGCACGCGAAGGAATAACCTAATTAGAACACAAGCTCATAGTTCATCACACTGTGCTGGAAGGAATGACAAGGTTTCCTTCTCAAGGTCATGGAGCACTAACATGTTCTGTTGCTGAATATTGCCGAAAATAGACATTCCACTTGAGCTCCCCATGGCCAAGCAAGCTACTCCCATGCTTGCATCAGCAATCATATAGTTTTCGGCTGGCAATTCCAAGTCTGCTCCATCAAAGTGGAATACCAACTTAGGCACCTCTATATCGGTCGAGCCTGATGGCAATGTGAAGCAAACTTCGAGCCCCGTCGCGCCGGAATTGTCCACCGGGAGATTCATCTGAGAGGTGAACTCTTTGGAAACCAAATCAAAAGCACTTTGTTCTAAATAGGTTATTGTAGTGCCAGAGTCAATAATAAGGCCACCACTTCCATCTTCTTGGAGTGAAAAGGTAGATTTCTTGATAGGTAAGCTAGTGTCACCCACTGATATTCCTTCAAGAGAAAGATAATAAAATGATGGCTGTGCTGAGTTCTGGATTAAAGGGGTGCTCTTGATTTCACTGTCTGATGCTTTCACACTTGCTAGAGATCCCATCAATAGTGTGCTGGCTTTTGTGTCATCAACAGAGGTTAAGCAATATGAGAACTTGGGCTCCTTGAGTTGAGAAACCAATGACAAGGGTCCACGGCCAAGCCCCACTAGGCCAGAACCCTGGCTGAATCCACTTCCCTCGTTATCTTCTCCGCAACCGAATGCAACTTTAGGAACTGAAACCTTGCCAAACGTGAGAGTTTCGCTTGCCAGAATTCCTTGTGTTGAAGAATAATCGCCATAACCATACAGATATTCGCAGCCATCGCTGCAAGTGGACTGGGGTAGTGCTTCACATAATTTGCTAGAACATGATAACTTAGAGAAAGAAGAGGACTTTTTTGGATCGAAAATAGGAGTGGGTTGATCAAAACACTGTGTGCAAGGCTTGCACTGAGTCCATATCAAATCGCTACCTGTGTCCATTATTGCAGAATAAGTCGCCGGTGGCGTGCCAATAGCTAGATTCATCAAGAACTCACCATTCCCGGGAAGAACTGGGGCATCAATCTCAGAATTAGAAGACGCTACCAGTGCCATTGCTTTGAATCTTTGCAACCTGTGTCTTCCACGCTTAACCCCGTGTTGAATACGCTCGAATTTCGTTAAGTTCTTACCCGAATCAACATGTTTGAGCTTCACTCGGAAGCCATTTTGCGCCTTCGGATGCTCTAAAACTCGCCGTGATGTAGAAAATGCATGAGAAAAAACAAGGGCGAAAATTGCCAGTGCTACGACAAAAGACAAAGAAGACATATTAGCCATGAGTATTGCAATCACCTTGAGATGAAAACAAAGTCTAAGTTCGTTGAAGATAAAAGACGACGGGGTAGTGAAGGTTGTGTAGGCTAGACAAGGACGAAAATGGTCTTGCCTGATGGACTTTGGTCTCTACAAAAATGGAGAACAAAATGGAGAGAGCGTGTAGGGAGAAGACTTGGAGAGATTACGGGAGATTAGAGGGTTTAAAGTGGAAACCAAGCCATCTCAACTTGTAGTGAAGGTTGAGATATCATCGGGCATGAGAGTGAAACTACAAGCCAGGTCATGCGTGGTGGTTGAGAAAATTAGATTGAAAACTCAAGGTTTGCTACAACCTTTTTGGAAAAGAAGGGCTCACACCTATAAAGTAATTTGCAAGGCTTGTAGATAAAAAAGAAAAAAAAGAAAAAAAAGAAGTTTGCTTCAAGAAATAAAAATCAAAATATTATTGAATTTTTATACTCTTATAACACATAAAGCATAAGAAAACATACCCTTATTATTTTTATATCTTTTATTTTGACCAATTCGAGCATAATTGATCATCATTGTTGTTAAGGCTAAAATCATTTACTTGTTGCTTGAGATCCACAACTTGGTGAATGATGTACATATTGCATTATAAACGAACCATAAGGATTCGATCCTTTTTCCCCATAAATTAGAAAATTCATAAAAACTCTTCGTTGATTATATATAGAATGGAAGGATATTTATCATAACAATCATTTATCCTTTATCCACATATTTTAACTCATTGATTCTCTGTCTTGGCTTCTTTCAACGTATAATTCAATACATTTAAAGAGAATTAAAATAATTGTGCTGAAGTTTGGTGAGCTAAGCGGAGAACAAATTGTAATGAGGTATTGATGGAACAAATTTAGTTGGTTTGATCATGTTTCTATTACAGCAGATGTATGTCATCTCTGTACTTTCACATATGTCTTCTTCTTCCTTTTCTCCTTTCTGGTTTAGAAAAAAATCATAGTTCCAAGATGTAGCTCATAAGTAGATTTGGCGAATTAGGAGATTTAAGTCGCGGGTTAGGAAATCAACTTAATTATTCTATCATTAAAAAAAAAAAAATCGGACTTGAGCCAAGCTCTAAATTAGCAAGACGTAGGGTTAACTTCTTATATTAGGTTTTATAATATGGAAAAAACTACCCATCCATCAAAAAATCAAAATAAATTAACATATTTTTAGTTTTGACATTAGGAGTGAATGACCCTTTTTGCTTTTTTTCTAATACAGATGTACTTATAATGTATGGATGAGGATTCCTCTCATCATCGGAATAATACAACTAGTTAAGTTAATTAATCTATGCATACCCTTCATTTTATAATTATAAGAAAATAGAACATTTCATAGTTTTCTTCTTAATTATCAGATATTCTAAGCATTTGATTACGAGGAAATTGAGACAACGTAACCTATCATGTTATTCTTGATATAAGACGATTTCCAATTACTCTTCATCTAATATTGTGAAAGATGATGGACGGTGTTTATATAATATTAGTAATGTATTCATCTGAGAAAAAATCCCAAGAAATTATCCATCAATGAAGAGAAAACATCACTTTCTTGATCTCATCCCCAAACCTGCCGTGGAGCTTACGTGGGAAGAAAGCAAGCAAACTCAAGTGTTGAATGGAAAGGGTAATAAGCACATCATACATCTAGAAGTATATATTCGAAATTAGTTTTCTCGAATAATATCAACCTTTGATGGAATGGACTCCACTGATTGGTCCCAAAATACACCAATCATTGAATGGTAAGAATGATTCAAAAAACTCTTTCATGATAGATATTTCAGGATCAATAGCATTCTGTTCTTGATTTCATGAATAATGCTATTACTTGATTTCATGTATTCTTGACTCAAATTTCAGCAGAACTGCTATTACTCTATGCAAGTTTTTGTTTTTTCTCAGTAGGATTTCCTGTCAGTAAAAGGTGTTCTAAGCTTTTCTCCCTTCACCAATCCCTTAAAGGATGAAACATTTGAGGTAGGGCCCAAAGGTAGGAACTTGAGTGAAGATACCTCATACTCGATCCTCATTCCGTCACTCTCCATGTGGACTGTAAAGAGAATTGCTGACCCAGAAGGAAAAGAAACATTTTGAAACAAAGTTTCTAATACGTGATATGCTTTACAGCTTTTAACATCGCATAACTTTAGTCAAGAAATATAGAAGCTTGAATATGAAGAAATTTGATGTTTGAAGGCTGTCTAAGGTGCAAAGAACTCATGACATTTTATATGATGATGCGAACACAACAAAAGCAAATCTTCAGATGAGAAAGACAGCCCTACAGTTCCTACATCCTTTTTCTATGGAATGATAAGTTTCAGTCAAGACATTAAAATTCATAGAAAGATGGGAAAAGAGAAATTTTAGCCGAAATATGTAAGACAATCGGATGAACCAAAACAATAATTTAAGTGTTCAGAGATAATCTAGAGCATTTGCGGTTAAATATTAGGGAGAGAGTAGTAATTTTCAGCACCATATGAAAATGCGTGGAAGCAACAAGTGAATCCTTGAGAAATGCATATTAGTGTGATTGACAAAAATTCAAAAATCTTGCTACTTACAATTCTATTGTAAAAGCTCAGTCATTACTTCGTACTTGCATGGATACAACATACAGGCATTGAATTGATGTCATCAACCAATTCCAAAAGGTCGACTCTGTCGAGATTTATTCTTACCGGACAGTTTCATCTGATTTGTATGATCTTCTTCCACTTCCAGCTTTTTCCTCCAAGCAACCTCTTCCTTTTGTCTTTTAATCAGCTCTAGCTCACAAAATCGTTCCTCATCTTTCCTTTGTTGCTCCAAGGCTTCTCTTCTCTGTGCTTCTTCCACTCTCCTCCTATTCTCTTCCAGCATCTTATCCAGCTCTTCTCTTTCTTTTCGAGCTTGTGCCTGAGTGGTCATATTTACATCAAAATGTGCATGAGGCCAAAATCACAGAAACATCTAATGAACTGGTTTCAGAGAGTGACAAATATCTGATACTTCTAGCTTATTAATATGCATTTAGCAATTAACTTTCAATTGTTAGCAAATTCCATATCAGATGGGACACTGTTTGGCACAGATGAAAAAGGAACTGATATGAATTGAAACAATTAACTATGATGCAGTCCCCTTAAATATGACAGATAGAGCAGATAAATCCATATCTGAGATGGATCATCTCAGAGGGCAGAAGAGAAGAAGTGATTCCGCACAGTCAGAGGTAGGGGAAACTTTTTAGTAGGGACCAATTCAAATAACTATCTAGGTGCACAGTTCAACTGGTAAAAATGTTGGCTTCTGGCTTTGTACCTGTAATGATATGAGTAAATATAGAAATGTATCTATTCCCAAAGGATGTCCACCCCAAACAATCTTTGCTCTTACAGCTATCCTCTCTAGTTTCATGTTTGAAAACTACCAGGCTTTGCTGTACTTTGAGGCTCTTCTATGCTGAGACTTCACTCACCCATGATTTTGCTGAATAGTCTTCGACATTTATCTCCTTTAGAAAGAAGTGAATTCCTAAATTTACGGAATAAAAGAGAAAACTACAAGCTCTACATGCTGGGTGAGGAAATAAGAAAAATTTAACAAAGCACCTGCCTCCTCCTGATCAGTCTTGCCCACTGTAATAACCTCCTATTACTCAAAGTCTCAGTTCCGACCCAACCTTAGTTTCATCAAAGTATGATGACACAACAAACCAAGTCTTTTGTGTTTGAATAGTATAACTGACCAAAGCCCCTATTACTCATTGCCTCAGTTCCATCCCAGCCCTAAGGTGCTCTGTGGACAGTTGCCACAAGTGATTTACATTCCAATATCTATATCACTGCAAACCCAAGTCATTTTTGTGCGCATAGTATGATGATAAATGTTAGAAAACAACAGTTGAATGCCGGGAATTTGGTTAGTTCTCTATTATCCAGGGGCTTCACACAGACAGCTAAAGATTACTTATGCCACATAAGGGACAAATATATTGACTTTGGCAATGACAAGCGCCAACAGAAACAATCAACATTCCTGACGGTCACAATATTGATGAAGAAAGATACAATGACTGGTAATTCAAGTAACTTCTCAAGATATCTTAAAAGTGGAAATCCCAACTAAAGCCTTGAAACTCATTATGATTTTTAAACATGGTGATAAAGCATGCAATACATGTACAAGACTCAACAATCTATTCCCACTACTACAAGAAGAATAGAAGTCTTAGTATTAACAAGCTAGCTTCAAATCACAAGTCTCAATGCCACAATTTTTTTCCCTTTCAAAAACTCCTTGCAATCTAAAAATAGATGTTAAAAAGAATGGTAACTATATAAATAGGTCCACTTCCTTTAATTATTTTACATGTTAAGGTCCCAATTTTTTATGACTACGAATTAAGTACCCAAAAGACAGTTGGCAGGTAGAAGCTCGTAACCAATACATTATCGCAGATAATTTTTTTATATTCAAGCCCCCTACAATAAGAGACCAGTAACTAGTGGGAGTTCAAGATTCTTACTTCTTTCCTTCTTTCCTCAACAAGAGCAGCTTCCTTTTCCTTGAGCAGTTGAGCTACAACATCATCAAACAATTTCTTCTGACCTTCTTCTATCCGCCTCTCTATTTCTGACTGGACTTCCTCAGAATTTAATTTCTCTTCCACATTTTTCCGAATGGATTCCTCCAGTCTCCTAGTAGTCTCTTCCTCTAATAGGTTTAGCTCCGCCTCTAGTTGCCGCCTGATAACAATCACAGTAAGAGTAATTTCATTAAGCATGCAAAAGCTCTCCTAAGTAAACTGCAGATTTCCACTTTGAGATTACATTGATGACAAGCGAACACTGATGTGGAAGTACAAATAAACAGGGAAATAATTGTTCATCAAACAATGCATGTCAGGATAAGTGGTAGCTTATTAGTTCAAAAACCCCCATAGAAGCCAACCTGTCACTTGTCACAACTACAGATGAACTACCCGTTGAGAACCGGCAAAAACCAAATGGAGATAAATCACCATGGCTAAAAATTGAAGAAATTATGCTAGCAATAATAATAAGACGTTGGTGGAAACATGCATAAAATATTTACCTCTTCTTCTCTTCCTCCTCTTTCTTTAATTTCTCAACAGCAATTTTGGTAGAAGCAATACTTGTACTTCTTGACCTAGACAATGGAGACAATGATTCAGTCCTACTTCTACTTCTATGTCTTCTGCGTCGCCTAGAAGGTGTAGGAGACCGACTTTTACGCCTCCTGTAACTCGGTGAACGACTTCTCTGATGGCGCCGAGGGGGTGGAGAATCAGAATCACTTTTCCTCCTGCACTCAAAATATTTACAACTTTACAACATCACAACACATCCTTTTGAAAGTAATCAAAAACCCACCAATGGGATCATCATTTCACCTCCATATTGCCCCAAATTGGACCGTAAGTTTGCATCTAAGGACAAAAAAAAAAAAACAGAGCTACTACAAGATTGAATAAAAATGACTAAAAATCACAACTTTACAACATCACAGAAGACCCTTTTGAGAGTTAAAAAAGACCCACAAGTTGGATTATCAAATCAATTCCATAATTTACTAAACCAGATTACAAGACTGAATTTTTAAGAACAGGAAAACAAAGAACTAAAGTGTCATAGCTATTGATGCAAAGAGTATGTGACCTTGAGTGAGACCTGGAATAAGAAGAGCGGATGCGGTCAGCCCTTCTGCTTCTTCTTCTTTGGGGGTGGTCTGCCGGCGACGGTGAGCGCCTCCGCCGGTGCGACGGCGAGCGAGATATGCTTCTAGCCATCTATCTACCTTAAGGTAATTATACCGGTCATAAAGCTTACTTGCCTTTGTAAGAAATCTACTGACAATGTTTTCATTGTGCCTAGTTGGCTTTAGTTGCCGTATCAATTAGTCCAGTCCACTTGCCTATCTAAATTTTCTCTTTTGTTATGAAGCATATTGTTATGGTTCAAACTTGAGGAACTGAAAAGATATATTGCTCTAACTTGAAGTACCTTAAATTGTAGTCACGCTGGCTTTGAATCCACTGCTATGAAATGGAAAATGATATATTAAAAAGTCAAATAAAAAAATAATTTTTTGAATAATATAAATATAGTTTTTTTAATTATATGTATTTTAATGCTAAAAAATTATTTAGAAAAATCAATTATATTTTAATATTTTTTATGTTAAATTAATTTTAATATAATTATATAACTAATTTAGATATATTTTATGTTTTAAAACTTTAAATATAATTAAAAATTTAATGAGTGTTCATACAGGAACAATTAGAAATTGAACAGTAATAATTTAAAATCAGATAATAACAATTGAAAATTAAACAATAATAATTCAAAATTAATAATAACAATAGACTTTCACGTAAATACTATAAATAAGAATATAAAAAAATTAAGTCATATGAACACTTATATATTAAAATATTGTTTGCCTCATGCTTTAAAATAAAAAAATAAGTTGTTAGCCAATAATTATTGACAAACAGTTATTTGTTTTTGTCATTTCTACAGAAAAATATAGAAATGGCTCTTTACATGAATATATATTGAAATATTGTTTGCCTCATGCTTTAAAATGAAAAAATAAGTTGTTAGCCAACAATTATTGGCAAACAGTTATTTGTTTTTGACATTTCTATAAAAAAATATAGAAATGGCTCTTTACATGAAAAATAACTAAAATAATTATCTATTTGCCTCATGGAGCAAAACAATAAAAAAATAAAAGTTAAAAATATAATTTTTAATATTTAACTTTTTATTTAGCTCTCTCATTCAAGATGTTCTATACCACCACCACTTGTATAATGATGGTTAAATTGAGTGTTTTTCTTTATATTATTATAGCATATTTTTAGTTTAAAAAAGATTTGAATTGGTTTTTTAGGTGTTTTTTTTGTGATTTTATTATATATATATATATATATATATATATACACACACTATATTTTTAATTAAAAATATTTTAAAAAATTATTATGTATCATAACATTAAACTTACAAACCAGTATCGAGTTAAATGAATTAGTTAGGATAAAAGTTTAATTAAATTAATTTTTTTTAAAATAAATTGAAACTAATTAAATAAAAAATCAAATCAATTGATTTGGTTTGATTTAGTTTTATGTTTTTTAAAATCAAAAGTTTTTAGTTGACGAAACAAAGCCCATTTTGTTTTTAATTTTTAACTATAATTATTTAAAAAAATTAAAAAAAATCATTTAATTTAATTAATTTTAGATAAATTTTTTATAAATATTCTAGATAATTCAATAGATTTATTCATCCCTACTTTAATTTCACTGCTAGATTACATTGAGTACAAATTCCAAAAAAAGATTACAAGAAAATTAATTAATACATTAGTTTTCACATGTGAAAGTTGGTTTGAGGATATGGTTGATGTTAATATCTAAATTAAAAATAAATAAATAAATAGCGCGTCTGCATGTTACTTTGATCATGTTTTTTTAAATGATATTATGGAAAATCATTTTTTTTATAAATCTATCAACATAAAAAAATTTAATCAACAATATTCAAACAATAGAGTCTTGTTTTCAATTCTTTTTATATATATATAATTCGGGGTGTTCGAGATAACTTACACACATCACAACTAATTTTCAAATCTACTAAATATCTTACAAGTCTAATAAACAAAAAAGACACCACGAAGATAATAAATTAATGCATAAAAAAAATTAAACTTGATATAATTATAAAGCAAACCTTCCACTTGATCAATGAGTTATACCCCAAGTGCATCCAATCCTTTCTTCTTTGGACATGGAAGAGGTGAAAGGCCCAAAAGGTAGATAATTTCCTGAAGAGAAATCTCAGAGGCAGACCATTCCCAAACCATATATACCATATATCCTCATGCAATTGTAACAGGTACAAACATAGAAGATGGAACTGGCATTTTCTGTATGCCAGCCACATGGTATAGTATATTTTTCAAGTAATTTTCTTGCTTATGTACAAAAATCTATAGCATAAAATATAGTAACCATGCATTAGTTTGACAAGTCTATCTCAAAATTGATTCCATGCATGTTGGAGAAGCTCTATCTTGCCCTGGACAATTGTATAGCTTCTTGGTCAACGCTTGAATCTTCGGCCCAGATATATTGTTGAGACATGAGCACTGCCAAGTCTTGGTTCATAGCATCCTCGAGCTGCTCCCACTTTGCCCATCTCTCGGCCAGGCCTACGCCTCGCAGCATTTTCACCACTTCCGTCATTTTGGGGCGGCCTTCAGGTGAGCTATGCGTGCATAGCAATGCAACCTGGACTATACTCTCGACTTCTTTGCGGTCGTAAGTTTTCAAATTTCCATCCACGATGTCATCAAGCCTGTTTTCCCTCAACAACTTCTTGATCTGCACGTCATTTTTCCATCATTTTAAGCATAACAGAAGCACGCAGGAATGTGTAGAATGATGCATATAAGCCAAAAATAACACTAGAACACTCTGCGAGCAGGAATTTTGATATACAGATATATCTAGTATAAATTCTGTAATGGGCCAGGAAGTTCTAGAAGTCTTACATGGTCAAGCAGAAGAACTTCCTCTTCCTCCTCGAGACGAGAAAGGTCTATTGCACGCTGACCGGTTACCAGTTCAAGAAGTGTAATGCCATATCCGAACACATCTGTCTTTTCTGATGATTTTCCAGTAGATAGGTATTCTGGGGCGATGTGACCCATGGTACCACGCACCTGAGTAGTAAAATGAGTGAATTTCGTGTCAACTAGTTTTGCTAGCCCGAAATCTCCTAGAACGGCTTCAAAATTGTCATCTAACAGGATGTTCGCAGCCTTTAGATCGCGATGTATAATCTTAGGATCACAATGCTCATGTAGATACTCCAATCCGTGCGCTGTACCAAAGACAATTTTTTTCCTTGTTGGCCAGTCCAAGCCTTTCTCACCAGGCTTTAATTCTATAATGTAACATATGTCACTGTCATGAAGCGATTTCGAAGAAGAAAAAGTTTCTATTTATAACATGAAAATCTCAAAGATGGATTGAGACATGGTAGTATTCAAAGAAATACCTCTCAAGCGGTATGCAACGCTAAGATTTTGCATGTATGGATAGACCAGGATTCTCTCAGATGAAGTTGTACAGAATCCAACCAACCTTAGAAGATTCTTATGAACAGCAACACTGATAAGTTGAACTTCTCTCTGAAATGCAGCATCTCCGCCAGGACTGTAATAATCCGCAAGTCGTTTCACAGCAACCTTCATGTTGTCTGAGAGGATACCTTTGTAAACTTTTCCAAACCCTCCTTGACCAATTATGTTGCTTTCACTGAAATTGTCTGTTGCAAGTTGAAGCTCACGCCAAGAAAATCTCCGAAGCTGCCCAAATGAAATTTTGCTGTCGTCTTCACCTAAAGTCATGTAAAAGCTGGAGTTTATGTACCTTCAATCAACAGCAACATTGAAACGAATTCAACTACAAGAGGAAAAAAAAAATTACCAGCAACATCAACAAAGATATCATTTTTCTCTTTGTGAAATTGATGATATCGGTATGCCAGAACAGCCACGAGTATCAGAAGAATGAAAGCACCACAGCTGGCAGAAGTTGCAATTACTTTGAGTCTTGACTTGCTGGTTGAAACTGCAAAGCTCTCGTGTTTAAGCTCCATCTGAAGATTAATGTCTAAGAAAAGAATAGTGACAACATGCAGTGTCTTAAAGAAACTAACCTTGAAGGGGAGACCCCGAGATGCAAGGTTCTTCCAAGCTCAGGCCACAAGCAAGATGAGTTGCTGTAAAACTGAAAAACAAATAACAGTTAATGACAAGCAAACAAGCTTGATAATAATGTGCCTAACATTAAAACAGATAAAAGGATTGAATAAATTAAGATATAAACTGTTTGGATATTTCACTCGACCAAGTTACGAAATAGAAGATGAAAAGATATCGTTGAAGGATAAAAACCAAACAAAAGTTGGAAGAGTTGAAAATTCTGAAATTTACTTGAACATTGCAACAGAAAAGAGTTTCCCGGGTATTCTTCCAGTTAAATTGTTAGATGAGAGATCCCTGTCAAAGAAAAGGTATCGTAAGTAATATGAACATGGTCAACAGCAGAATTATGATCTTTGCAAGAGCAAGACTGCCGAAAAGCCTTGTAGAACCAGTAAAATGACTGAAATTTAAAACAAAGCCATGTTCTAAGAAACTTTCATAACAAAAACGATACGCTGCTGCTTCGTGCATATAAGAACAAGACAAGGAAATATGACTCTTCAGGAGGCGTTAAAGGAATCCTTACAAATTTTTCAAATTGGATAGCTGACCCCAAGTGGTAGGTATAGAGCCACTGAATTTATTGCTGGCAAGATTTAGATTTTGTAGATGCACCATGTTGCCAAGATAATCAGGTAAGGGCCCTGACAGACTATTGTTCTGTAATTCCCTGCATGGAGAATTTTAGGTTTTATGAACATGGGCATAATTCAGCACCATCATACATCATGGAACCATAAAAGTACATGGTTATGTTTGGTTAGTGTTCCAAGACAAAAAGAAAAAAAGAAAGAAGAAGTAATAATAATACAGAAATGACAAAAATATGTTTGATTAGATAGATTGGAAAAGAAATATAAAAATAAAGATGTTTTTAATGAAAATTTTTAAATGAATTATTGTCATTTCAAAATAGAAAGGATAGGAGACGGCTCCCCTCCATACCAAGTACCTTCTTCTCATTCTGTAACTGATTGTTCTCCCAAATTAGCATCAATTTCAAATTCATCCTCTATCTTCAATTGCATCAATTTTAGTCCCAAAACTTTCTATACATGCTAAAACAGAGAATGTGCTAGGTTTGGTTGATGGTGGATCTTATATTCTGAAAAATGGAGTAAATTATTGCCATCAGTATTTCGACATGAAATGAGAATATTGGATCAGGATATCATTTCATTCTAGAAATACTTGGGTTCAGATTTGCGTTTGCAGACTGTCTAAATTGATAAATAGACGAATGCTCATGCAAATACATACTGAAAATCCATGTGACTTCCAAGCTAGCCAGAAACTTACAGGGCAACCAGAAACTTCAGTTTCGTAATTGCAGGTGAAAGAGTTCCCGAAAATCCAAGTGAATTCAGGTTCCTGCAAATTAGAACATTTAGAGAGTATATGAACTGCAAAATTAACCCAGGAAACCACTATCAATTAAGGAAGTATCGAATAAAAATGCAGCACTCCAGCAAGTAAAAATCCCGCGGCCATCCCTCTTCATATCTGAAGTGTGTTGCTAAAATAGGCAAAACTGAAGTTTATCTCCAAATACAGGTACTTACAGGGATTCAACATGTCCATTTCTGCAATTGACATGAGTCCAACTAAAGCAAGGACTCACTAAATTTGTATCCCAATTTATCTGTCTATTTGAATCATTGAGTGCGAGCAAAAGATCTCTTAAAGCATTACCTAAACATTAGAGAAAGCTTAAACTTGTCAGTGGAAACTAATGACAGGCAGCAGCACCCTATACTCTATTATCTTGACATTTCAAATTTTAGCCTGTATCTCAAAGCCTTATATTTTCCCACCAACATCAGCATTTGGTGTGAACAGATAACACGGTATTAATGAAAATCGTAGATAAAATACCTTCAGTGTCAGGTTCCTTGGTTGAAATAGTGATTTTCAAAAAATTGAGCAGAATAAGAAAGTTGATAACTAGTTTCAGAGGATTCCAGAGGGAAAAGACTCCGAACATGTATCTGTATTTGGTGTAGCAGAAAGATTCAGTCGAAGATGGCTTGCCGCCGCTTGGATGTCCTAATAAAGAAAAAGTTTTATGAGTTTACATGAGCAGATCATAAGATCAAAATTTGACCCTTATCTAGCCCAACATGTACATCAAATTCTCAATGAAATGTTAGAGCTTTAAAACAAACTAAAATTAGCTTAGGATTGAAGTGTAATAATCATGACAAATACGTTAGAAGCAAGAAGGATATCAGCTTTTCTGGCAAGCATATGAAGCACAAATAAAGTATAGGAAACCAATGTTTACATCATTACAGCATATTAACATGCTGTCTCGAGTAAAAGAGCTGTCATTCATCATTTTGGTGCCTGACTTCTCCCTTTGTTAAGAACAATTAGCAACTTCCATTTCAACTAAGGACTTAAAGATGTTTCTTGGTAAGTTCAAAGCACCAAACAATACAACTAATGTTACTGTTTAAGCAGAGGCTGTTCACACTCCCTGGAGTTTAAAATCCAAAACAAACTGATTTTCTGTTTTTTCTTTCTTTCTTTCCAAAATCAGTGACTTGTGTGAACAATGATTAACATGCTACTAGAAAGAACTGTAAAACCATGGTGATTCCATCACTTTTAGGTCTACTAAGCTATAACTTTTTTCAGAATTTTTATCCACAGCAGGATGCTCCAATCATATAAAGTAATAGACCAAAGCATTCACTATTCTGATTTCTCAGTCCTGGTATACATTATGCCTTCTCCAACAAAATATAACTTTTTCTCTTAAGATCATGCACTTTTGGTTTTTAACTTTTTTATATGCAAGGTTACCTTTTTCCTTTGCATCAAGCCTCTAGGAGACCTTCTAGTTCTACCTCAGTCACTTAGCCTAATGCTGCCTAAGATTGTGAAAAGGGGAAAAGGTGAGCACACCGAAACAGAAAAGCTTAAAATTCAACCACCTCGTTAAACATGCAGTGGGAAGTTCAATCTAAGCTTATCCACATTCCATGAAGAAACTATCTGACAGAAAAATGTTCCCATTATCCTCATCCTCCACAAGGTTGAAACCATTTATTACCCGCCACACACCTTAATGAGACAAAGCAAATTCTTCTTCCACTACTGCCACCCCACAAACTTTGCAGGACCATAAATGGTTAATGGTCATTGGAACAAGAAAATATACTGTCTTCTATCTTCCTACTTCACATTAGTAGTGAAAAACAGCAGATTTGTTTACTGAAACTCATAACCATTTCATCCAAATGAACATCAACAGAATCTACCATCCCTTAGCATCACTAACAAATTCAACCAGCAAGGGACCCCCCCCACGACAGACAAACACAAAAATGAAATATATACTACTAGCCTGAAGAAACAAAAGAGAAAAGCTTTGAAATTGACAGCAACCTAGAAAGAAATATACTAAATTAATGTAACAAGTTAAATAAAATTCACATTTAAGAACATGCCTTCCATGACTTTCCCGCACGAAACTCTTGTGTGTGTGTGTGATCAAGAAAGCAGAGAAAGGAAAAGAAACATACCTCTATTGTCTTTAGCCATGACAAATACAGCAAACGATGAATGAATAAAAAAAGGTGGTGGCACAAGAAGAAGAAAATGAGGAAGCTGAACACAGTCATTATTATGATTATCATAAGGAATAAATTATGATTAATGCATTGGACCCACAAAGCATTTTGATATGCGAGAAAGGGATTCTTTGAAAGGCCAATAGCTTAGAATATCAGAGGGGCTAGTGGTATTATTGGTGGAGGATGAGAATGAGAATCCCACTAATTGAACTTTGCTTTGCTTTTGCTTGCAATTGGATTGCATTAAAGATAATGACGAACACTTTTTTGTTGGCTTTGTTGCTTCTAAGATATCCAGACCACATGAGATGCTTTCTGGTTTCGCCCATAGTGGCAATGGCATGCATATCCATGAGAAGACTACAAGTATGTGTTTTTAGAGAAGCTTCCAGCCTGAAGGTAACCATGTTTTATTGAATAACTTATTTACTTGGTCCCTGGGTTTTAAACACAGTTTTAACTTAGTCCTTTATATTTAAAATAACTAACATAATTCTTTTCATCATAGTTATTATACGTGAACTGTTACTTCATCCAATTAAAAGTTAATCTGCAAGGTAATGAATTAACTCAAATCAATATTTTTTTATAATTAAAATTATATAATTTCTTTTTAATTTTAATTTTGATTTGATCAAATTCAAATTCAGATCAGATTTAACCAAGTTAACTTATCATCAATTACCATCTGATCACTTGATTCTGATCAAGTTAATGTTAAAATTAATTCATATCAAAATCCAATCTAAAATAAGTGTTGAATATATTACATTTTAGATTAATTTACTAGATTAATAACTATACCTTCTATATTTTTATATAAAAATAATTTAATTAGTCTCGTGATCGTTGATGAAGTTGGATTTTTATGAGTGTTGATTTCTCCTTGAAAATCCCACTCTCAAAGTTCCTCTTCAATAATTTAATTTGTCAAACGCTGTGCTTGCAATTATTGCAGGAAAAAACTGAGAAATGTTACAATTTTTAATACATGAAGGATTAAGTTATAATCTTGTTTACAATGCAGGGACTGGACAATACATTTCATTCGTGCTCCGTTACATGGAGACAAGAAGCACACTTGGTGCACACTTTTGTCAGAGGAAGAATCTATCCTTCCTCCGGATGTCTTTGCTTTAACAATGTGATGCACGTGTAAGGGCTTTACTTTATTTGTTAATTGGACATTTTGTGTCCACATGTCAACATGATTGATCTGTCCCGTGATGAAATTAAATTTTTTAAAATATTGAATTAACCTTTAAATAAATCAAATTTAATGGATTTTTTGAAGGATGAAAAAATAATAAATATTATTTTCAAAAACATGCTTTCTCTATATATTTTTAAAAAATAAAAACTCATTGGATAATTATCCCAAATGTTTCAGAAATGAATTTACATTTATATTTTATCTTCATCTCTTCAAACATTCAATGCACACTTCATAGGTATTTATCTATCTGAGTGATGTCTTACTTTAACACATGTAATGGCTTCACTTTAGCTGTTAAAAGGACATTTCATGTCCATATATCAACATGATTGGTCTTCATTTTTATATTTTATGAAGCATAAATGATCATTTTGTGTTTCATTTTTAATTTTATAGTTTATACCACCACTTTCGGTTTTCTATGTGGATAAATGACAGTGCATTGACAATTTGATAATTTACTTTATTAATTTGGAGATTTTAATGCTTTGTGGGAAGAGACAAACATAAGTACGAGTTTCATGATTTTGGGTATATTATAAAATTTCAGTCCTCAAAATTTTGTAAAATCACCATAAGTTTTTTTTATAAATCAAATTGGTTTATAAAAATCACTTTCACTGATTTGCTAATGTAATGTGGAATACTTTTATTAAAAAAAATTAAATAAAAATATATAAAAATTAATGATTTTAAAAAAAATAAAAATATATAAAAATTAATGATTTTTTTATTATTATATTATTATATTAAAAACATATAAAAAAATTAATTTAATATTTTTTTAACATATACAAAATTAATTTAACATTTTTTTAGCAGGAAAACATTTTAAAAATAAAATTTAACCACAAATAGAAATAAGTTAAATTGCAAAAATATTCACACTTCTAAATTGGTGATTGACAAATAATATGATTATACAATGATATTAGTGTGTTTGATATTATGATAATTTTTATGTCTATAATTTAAAAAAATAAATTTAGAATAATTATAAATTATAGTTTTCTTTTATAACCAAATTTTAAAAAAAAATCAGTAGAATCCATGCAATGTGTTGATAAATTAAATATTTTCAAAAAAAGGTATTTGATGCAAAACTTCTTTTCTTTGAATATGTAGCACTTCTTTTTTCTTTTTTCACTGCAAGCGAAACTTGATGGAAGATTCACCACTCAAAAAAGATAAAGAGTGCGACCACTGTTTATCTCCTCCTATAGACCACCATTCATAAAACGCAAAGAATATCAGAGATCACCAAGAAATTCTTCAATGTTTATGGCCGCAAAGAGGAGCATAATGTACGTAAAAAACAGCTCTTCTACCACTAGCTAGTTCCATAACGTGACAAAAATATTATAGAAGTGGGCAGCCTGAACTAAGAAAAATTAGATTGGAAGCAGAAAATATGAAGGAAGTGAATTAAACAACTTGAGAGAAAAACCTAGATGTTATATAAGTCTCATAATTGAAGATAAAATTTTAAATTAAACACTGGATGTTCAAAATAGGGTTGAAAATTTTACGAAAACATAAATTTTGGTAGCTCAACACTTGGACTACTGTTTCCGATGTACCCGTTAAAAGGAGTCCACCACCTTCAACTCCGTATGTGGTAGCTCAACTCTTCTAGAATCTCCTGCATCACAAAACCCCTTAATTACACAGGCATAATGGATAAAATATCATCTTGAACTAAAGCTTCAACAGAGACAACATTGAAAACGCCAAAACCTGAAGGCTGAAGCTATGCCATATCCATGTTTTCCTCAATGTTCTGCTGACAAGTCTCAAATCTCATTCTTTTCGCTTGAAGTAGGTTATCACAACTTGATCCTGCCCGATCATCACTATCAAGACCTCTCTTAGCTTTAAGCCTTGCCTCATCTTGCTCATATATTAGGTATACTCCAGTCTTCTTCACAGTCATTGTGTTCAGAGAGTCTACAATAAGCTCCACTTCATCTTCACTACCAAGTTTGAAAAAATTGTTTGATATATGGCCTTGCCAAAGGTGATCTTCGCAGGATTTTACCAAGTTAATTGCTACAGCACGAAACTTCTTGGTAAAACCCTTAGTATAATTAGTCAATTTGATTCTAATTTGTTTAGTTTCTTCTTTCTCTAAATGAGATGAGCAAACAATGCACACGTTCATGCCATTCAAGTTCCTGCCGTCGAATTCAGGTAATTTAAACAATATTGAAGCACCCTCATTCTTATAGTTGAACAAGGCAGGAATCTCATTTCCAGGAAGTACCAAACCAGAAAAGGATCCCTGCACAAAGAGTACCATTTTTATTTTATATATTTAAGAACATAGCAAAATATGTTTAACAAGAGAGCCAGAGAAAGAATATTATACCATGTGCATGCTATTTTTTAAAGTATTTGAGATATCGTTGCACCCTTCCATGTCAATGTGTGTAATGGACCTTGATTTATCCAGTCCTGGAGCCTCAATCAGTTTGGAGCAATTAGCAATATACAACAAACGCAAGCGTGAAGCTACTGATATGTCTGGTAATCTTTCCAATGATGTGCAGTTCGAAGCGCGCAAGATATCCAAATTTCTAGGTAAAGCTGGAATTGTTTGTAGCCTGGTGTTATCGTCCAATCTTAGACTTGTAAGTCTCAAAAGATTACTCAAGCCAGCTGGTAGACTTTGAAAACTGTTACGGTCCAATTCCAGATTGGTTAGTGAGGGTAATCTCCCAAGATCTCTAGGTAGCGAATCATCCGATAAATTGCAATCCCTGAGCGATAAAGACGTGAGTCTGTCTAAGCCATGAAAAGAAGGTGGCAACAGGTTGGTTGGATTGGGACTTTTTCTTGGCAGAAGCCATGACATCAAACGTGAAGGCAATGTTGCAGAAGTTGAACCTTTACAGCCACAAAGTGATAAATCTTGGAGGTTCTTCAATCTGACTATGGTACTTGGTACTTGTCTTATGGCAGTGTCATCTGCATGGAGAATTGTCAAGGATTCCAAATCTCCCAATTCCTCAGGCAATTCATCAAATGTTGAGCAGCCTGAGAGGTAAAGAATCTCGATAGACTTCGACTTCCAGAAGCTATCCGGGAGCCTCATAAGTTGCTTGCAATCTTTGAAATTTACCAAAACAAGTCTTTCAAGGTATCCAATAGAATGATGAACTTCAACCAAACTTCTGCAGTCTTTGAGTTTTAACTTCTCCAGATGTGGAAGTCCGGAAAAGTCGGGAGTACGAGATAGGTAATGAGAATGACTGAGATTAAGAAACTTCAACTTCAAAAGGAACTGAGGAAAAGAAGAAAGATTCGAGAGTTAGAAAGAAATTGTTATTGTTTGATAGCATACTAAAGTTTAGATAAATATTTGATAGTTTTAGCGTACCTTAGAATTCTTAACCTGTCTTAGATTGCTGTGTCGCATATCTATAGCAACAAGGTTTTCCCCATAGAGGCCATCAGGTATGAACGAGAGTGGAAATCCATGCCAACAGAGCCAGGTTAATTTTCTCAAAAGATATTCACAGCCTCCACCAAGCTTTACATGATTGAGCTGGAGCAGCCTTAGGTTTTGCAGATTGCAAAACACATTTACATCCACTTTCATTTCATTCACTTTCAGCAAGTTTATGGCCATCCCTTGGATTGCTTCAGTTCCCTGTTAATAAACCACATCAAGAGGAAAGGATCAGATATTTTTCAAAACATGAATTTAAACAATGAACAGTTTGCATTCACCATGTTTCTTCGCAATATGTCAGCAACTTCTTCACGAATCCATAATCTACTCCGCCTTCCTGGATTGTTCGGTGATTGCACACGAACAATTTCTCTCCCCATGTCTCGAA